GAGCTTTGCCAAAACACACCTTGAAGATTCTGAGGCAGATGAGACTAAAATTGAATTATTTGGCCTCAACTCCAAACGATACATCTGGCAGAAATCCAATCCAGCTCAGCATCCAAATAACAGATTCCTCCAGTAAAGCATGGAGGAGGTCATATCCTGTTCTGGGTGTTTCTCTGCAGCAGGGACTGGAGCACTCGTGGGGCAAAATACCGTCAAATTCTTGAGGAAAATCTGCTGCTCTGCCAGAAAGTTGTCAATGGGAAGAAGGTTTACCTTCCAACATGACAACGACCCAAAGCACACAGCAGAACTGAGCTCACAGTGGTTGAAGGATGTCTAGATGTGCAGAGTTAGTAGAGACGAATCCCAACAGACTAAAGGCTGTAATTAAAGCAAAAGGTGGTTCTACAAAATACTGACACAAGGGGGTGATCCTTTTTACAACTCAGTGATTCTGTTTTATTTATTTATTTATTTATTGGTGTTATATCTTTCACTTGGATGTTACTTGAGTAAATACCGCTGGATAAAACAAAAACTGTGTCCATCTTCATTTGGACTGGAGCACTCGTGGGGCAAAATACCGTCAAATTCTTGAGGAAAATCTGCTGCTCTGCCAGAAAGTTGTCAATGGGAAGAAGGTTTACCTTCCAACGTGACAACGACCCAAAGCACACAGCAGAACTGAGCTCACAGTGGTTGAAGGATGTCTAGATGTGCAGAGTTAGTAGAGACGAATCCCAACAGACTAAAGGCTGTAATTAAAGCAAAAGGTGGTTCTACAAAATACTGACACAAGGGGGTGATCCTTTTTACAACTCAGTGATTCTGTTTTATTTATTTATTTATTTATTGGTGTTATATCTTTCACTTGGATGTTACTTGAGTAAATACCGCTGGATAAAACAAAAACTGTGTCCATCTTCATTTCAGGCTGCAAAGCAACAAAATGTGATTATATTAAAGGGGGCAGATTCTTTTCTATACTCACTGTATGTGTGTATATGTGTATATATACACACACATATATGCAACTTGCTGGCGTTTGTTTAGATGCTAATTACTAACACCGTGTTTAAGAGTGATGTTAGCTTAGATTATATGCTGAAAATTACCTCAAAGTTAAACCTCAAATTTTTGTGAAGATGCTGGATTTATCTGTGTCATTGCAGGACTTTTTCCCAGAGCACATGGTGTCTGTATCCAGTGAAAGCAATGGAATCATGAACCACTCACAACTTATACAGGTGAGGATCTTCATCTTATGCTATTATTATTATTATTAATAAAGGCGCACAGAGTCCTTATCCGTTTCTCAATATGCGCTTTTGTCTGGACTTGTGAAACATCATCAGTCGTTGCCCAAGTACTGTTCCAATTCAAAGTGAACATCTATCCAAGTACATTTCAAACCTCGGATGTGTTTTTGCTCCGCCCCTTTTATCGAGGATGCATCAAAAGGTGATTTGTGCAAATTTGAGGCAGCCAGGTATCCGTGACCCATGAGCATTAATGTCGGAGGAGAAAACCTGCATTATTTTCAAAATACTACTGTTATTATGTCATGAAATACAGAGTTCTGGCATGAAACTCTAGATGGCGCAGTCCGATAGGTCTAACTCAATCTGACCTAATGACATCATCACATGGCACAGCTGATTGGTTCTCTCCTGTATCAGTAGCCAATGAGCTCGCTGCTCAACATTCTTATATGACTAGTGCTTGCCGTAGCAGTTGCAGCTTGCTTCAGAAACCCTCCACCTTCCCCAGCTCCACCTGTATAGATCTGCTATATCTGTATGATCTGTATAATCCCACCAAGGGTTGTCATGACAGAAATTTAGTTCTAAGAGTTTTTCAGATGAGATTTATAAAGATACAAAGTTATTTATAAAGAGAACACCTATTTGAAAATTAGCCGCACCGATTTCGGCGCTCAGTGCTCATGTATCCCGCTGAGAGCAGCCTTACATTGGCTAGTCATTCTGACATATGCCACTGGCTCTAATGTCTCTGTAGTGGTTAAACATGAGATATAATTAGTTTTAGGTATATCTAACAGGCAATCTTTGGTCTCATGAATCTGTTATTTGTTCCTGGTCATATCATTTTGGCTGAGCACAAAGTTTAGTTTCGTAACTTTATATATTTATCTACCGTCGAACAGCTGATGTAGCATACATGTGTATATATTGCCTGAAACACATATTAATATGTTTTATATATTTTTTGTGTTTTATATTTAATGGATGTGTATTGTTGGTTTTATATTTAGTTTTGTTATAAGTTTAGATACAGTGAAGGTAATCAAAGTATGTACGCATTGCTGAACCACGTTTTTGTAGTTGGAAAAAAAACTAAACAAAACTAAACTGAAAATGAAAAGAGGCAGTGGTGTTTGATATCATATTTTGTGTTATTGTAATTATACAAACAGTGGGGATAACTGGAGTAGGCAAGGCGAGCTTACTGGCGTTATCAAGTATGCTGCTGTTCCATTTACGGAATTACCGGACTTCCACGGGAGTTTGCACTCCTGAGTCGAACTTGCCAAGTACGAACTACCAAGGATGCAAGTCCAAACTTTGTGTACTTGGTATTGAGAAATGGCTATTGTTTCTTCTGCTAGCTATGTCTTTTGGACATTATACAGGCACATACACTGTGTGGAAACAGCATAAACAACACATAAACAAGAAACAAAAGTTTGTTGAAATGTTCAATTCACAGGCGTATGCATCATTTGATCAGGGTAGGTTATATTTCACCCTAAAATCAAAACAAAACAACAACAACAACAAAAATATTAAATAGGTAAATAATTTTTTTTTTTTCTTTTGTGGTGTAAAATACTTTTATTGTATATACAGTATAATTATATTTATTGTAATTTGTATGTATATTTTTATTTTCATACAATTTGTATATAATTTAATTTTTTTATGAAATTACATTATTATTAATAATAATTTCCAATCATTTTTGCTTTACTATCACTTAGATACTATTATAGTTTTTATTAATATTTTGATTGTTTAAATTTTTATATTTTCGTTTTCATTTTAATTTTAGCTACAGTTTTAGTAATTTCGTTGTGTTTTTATCATTATTTTAAAAAACTATATTTTTTTAATAAATTTTTTAAAAATTATTAAACTTTTTAATATTTATTTCAGTTTTAGTTTTCGTTAATTTATACATCAAGTTAAACTGATTGCAAATGAGAAATGTTGCCTTGGCAACTAGATGAATAAAATGTTATTTTATTTATTTA